CCAGCAGCTGCTCCTCTCGATCACTCTATCAGCAGATCGTACTATTCCGTTGATCCCTTTAATGCACTTGATACAGCATAACTCACGTACTGTGGAAACTACCATTCATGGTGTTAAATGCACAATGGTGGACAGTTATTAAGTACATTTACTGAAGTACTGTTCTTTTATAATGTACTTTTACATTTTCTGCTATTTTCTACCTCCACCACATCTCATAGGTAAACATTGTACTTTTTACTCCATCTACAATACACAGACAATAATGATACAAAAACATAAATAAAACATGCTGATGTATTATTATAGGTTGAACAACCCAGCAGTATATAAAGTAAACTAATTAAATTCAGCTAGACCAGCATAAAGGTGTATATTATAATGGTTGTAATCTAATATTATTGTTTATATTATTCTGACGTGCCTTTCTGATTAATGATTAAGCCTACTATTACTTTCATTACTTTAAGTATGATTTGCTGCTAATAGGATTAGGGTTTGTGATTTTACAAAAGAAACAATTCAAAATCATACATCTATATAAATAGTGCGATGAATTAAGAACATATTAATTTAATGAAATAGTTAGGAAAAGCATGTGAAAGTAAAGCAGCAAAATCACATCTATATTCATCAGGTGGGACTTATGTCAGGGGACAAGTATCAATATATCACTGTACTAATATTATTGATGCATTCACGTAACCAACATGTATAATAATCTATAATTAATATGTTACAGTCATTCTCTATCTGTGCATTTTAAACCTCACGTCCCTCGAGGTTTATCACCTTCTGTAAAGTGTCTCTCTGTCCGCTGACAGTGCTCGTGACTTTCATTTCTATTTGTGTGTTTGCATACGTGCAATGTGAAGCCTGTCACAGCCATCTGGGGTCAGGGGTCAACAGCCAGGGTCCCTCTGTGTTAGTGTAATTTGTAATGGAGAAGTGTGTGAAGGGTGACTCATGTGATTATAATAGTTGCATCAAAGGAGGACACCCCCTTTAATCCAGGACAAGATGGACATGAAGGGCATCCCGCTGAAGCTTTACATCCTGACAAAGGGGACCGCATTTTTTAGAATTATCAGAACCATTAAAAGATTTTTGCAAAACATTTCTTAATTTTGTTCTGTGCAGGAGATATGCTGCATTGGAAGCATGAACATATTTCTGTATGATGTGATGGAAATTGAAGTGAGTGTTATTTTGTATATATTGATTTTTGTGTTTTTATTTAGGTCTTAATGTACATGTACAAATGTGTCTTTGACTGTGTGTATATACAAACATATTTGCACACATATTTTTATTTTATATTCTATATACAGTTTTTATATTCGGGATTGTGGGAAACAGTATTTCGATCTCTGTCTGTACATACAAACTGGAAGGTTGACATTAAAGTTGTCTTCGATTAGATGGGTTTTACTGTAATAGTCACTCCATTCAGATGTGTTTTGCACAGTAACAACAGAAAACCAAAAGACATTCAACTTTACAATATTGCTATTAAAAAGATCAAGTAAAAAAACATCCTGGTCAACAACTCAAACAGGAGTGCTCTTCACAAGTTTTTACACACAAAACACACAAGCCTCTGCTGATCAAATGTTTGAGCTCCCCATTGACATCAGGACAGCAGATAGCTTACACACCTTCCGGCGCAGACTGAAAACTCATCTCTTTCGACTCCACTTCGAGCGATAGAACTATTAACAAAGCACTTATATACTAATAAAGGGCTGGCTTATCTAAAGCCAGTTGAGTAGCACTTGAAATGTTTTTGCTCTATGAAACCTGATGTACTTATATGATTCTGTTTTCTTCAAGTTTGTATTTTGTTGGTCGAACGCACTTATTGTAAGTCGCTTTGGATAAAAGCGTCAGCTAAATGCAATGTAATGTAATGTAATGTAAAAATGTATATTTATATTTTATTTTTCCCTGTATAGGTGCCAGGGCCGTCTCTGGCCAACATGAGGCCCCACGCAAAGTTATATGATGAGGCCCTATGTTTCGCGAGCGTCGTCGTCGACGGGGACTAGTGGAGCCTCGCAGCGGCGAAACCGTGCCGCGCCACACTAATTGCGCCGCATAAGCGCATACTGTAGGTGCGGCACATTTTCGGCTCAGTTGAGGCACCCTCCGCAGGATGAGGCCCGTTCCGCAAGGTGAGGCCCCACGCAGTCTGCATGATCGGCCTGTAGGGAGGGACGGCCCTGATATGTGCCATCGACTGCATATACAATAAGATTTGTACAGATTGAGCATGACAAAACAAAACAGATGTTGGGAGGAACAGTTTATTCAGTTTTATTTACAAGGCAGAACCAATGAAGGATCATCTTTACCATTTAAATCTGAGCAAACATGTAGCATTAGACAAATGGTAGGCAAATTATTTGTAACAATATATTGTGCTTTTATAGTCAAAATGAAAATCACACCCAATTTTTATATTGGGTGTGACTCGATTAAACCTATAAAGTAAAATAACTACACATGGAAAGGCTATACTCTACATTCCTTCACTTTTCATGGACTTATTTTAATCATTTGGTTAAAAACAGGCACTCAGTACAGCAAACAAACCATGATGATGATAAACATTGATCAATTTCTTTGAAAATGATACAAAAGTTGAACCTCTCATTTCCATACCACAAAAGGCAAATAAAATAATTGAAATGAAACTTTTATAAACAGACATTTCATTTTTCTGTACCAAAGACGATAAACATGTTGATACCTCACCATCAGCTACACAACTGCCTGTAATGCTACTTAACAAAAACACAGTATAGACTATTTCCTCTTTAACATAACCAAATGCAAAGTGCAAAATAAAAAAAGAAGGCAGGCAGGAAATACTATAATGCATTTCTTTACAAAAATAAAACTCCTCTGCCCTCCTGCTACAATAGTTGAACGGTTGGAAGACATGAGTAAATCTACAAAACCCAAACACGTCAAACCCATAATGCATTCATAGAGAAAGGTTTAAAACGTTTTAAGTAATAACATGTGCTGAGGAAGTCGCTCTGCAGAAATGAACAAACCTTTATATACCTAAACTTTAGGATTATGAAATAATAAAACAACTTTCTTTCACAAGCCGCTGACAGAAAATGTTCCCATATAAAACTGATCAATAAGAATAATAGATATGCACAATCTACACACACTTTGTCTTGAATATGCCACAAATTCCCTTCAAAATTATTGCAGATATTCTGTAAATGGTGGGTAAGTATTATGTTGGTATCTTATACATGACATTATGCGAATACATAGTCTGAATAATAATGCAAGGCATACGTATTTGCTAAATGCTGTACTGTATGACATCTACATATGTGGCCATTATGCACAAGATAAAGCATATTTTACAACATATATATGATTCTTAAAGATTTTTCTCATATGGGGTTTTCCCAGACACGAAATGCAAATATTTATAATTTCTGTTTTTTTTCAGGCACATCATAAAAATAAAGATGTTAGTACATTTGGACATTTTCTAAACAGCATGAGAGACAGTAAGAAGGCCTCATGATACAGCAGGCAATATGAGGCAAAAAACTAAGATGAAGGCATCTGATGTATTGTTATTTACATCGAACACACATTATATTGACCAGAATATAAATGTGTGTTTGGTCTAAGCTTGAACATTGACCCAGGATCAGCATCTGCTACATGAATAAAGTTGTTGTTACACGTCTTAGTCAAGTGTTATATCTTTCCTCACTTACATTATGTACACATCTTTAGTGTTAGGCAAAGCGCTTATCTCCAAGAGTCAGATTTTCCAAATGTCTGATTCTAAATTCTGACTGTCTTCGGTTAATTTAGTTAAAAATAGTTATAAATAAAGCAACATTTTGTAATTTTACCTTTTATTTCAATGTTTCAAATTCAAAGTCATTTGATGCTGCAATGACTACAATAAGAATGGACCCTTGAGTGATACTGGATCATTTTTTTTTTTCCTCTCTAATGACCTCAGAAACTGTGTCGCTGATGGAAAGAAATTTTGTCGCTAAAATACGATATTATTGTCAGATATAGCAAAGTTAAGCGCTAACTGTAATAGCTCGCTTGTCAGCTCTTAGCTCAGTTAGCTGTCAGCTCAGTCAGCTGTAGGTACAGTTAGTTGTTAGCTGGGTTAGCTGTTAGCTCAGTCAGCTGTATAGGTACAGGTAGCTGTTAGCTCAGTTAGCAACTATATCAGTTAGCTGTAGATACAGGTAGCTCTGAGCTCAGTTTTCTGTTAGCTCAGTTTGATGTTAGCTTAGTTAACTGTTAGCTTAGTGAACTGTTAGCCCACTAATCTGTTAGTGCAGTTATATGTTAGCACAGTTAGCTGTTAGCACAGTTAGCTGTTAACTCAGTTAGCTGCGGACAGCACTGTAGCTTAGGAACTCTGAGAGCAAAACGTTTTTAGGCCGCACAGAGCGGGGTTAGCAATATTAGTTGCCTAGCTATGTCTTGATAATTTGTTCAAATTGATTGATGTTAGGCTGTGTTAGCAGAATTGCTGACTGTCTAGTTTTTTTGTATTGATCAGTAACATCATTATATTAAATGGACGTGTAACAACTGAATTCTTTCACACTCAGTGACGTCACGAGCTACCCACCATGCAACGCGCGCCATATATATATATAAATACGCCATTTTCCTGGAGGTGCAAATATCCTGGAGGTGCAAATATAAACAGCTAGCTAACGTAGCTAACGCGCACTAGGTTTTTTTTCTGAATTAACGACCGAAGAAATCGCTGCATGTCTTCGGATTACATCTCTGGACTTGAGGGGTGTGCTCTAGGTCGTTACCAGCATAAACTAGAGCTGTGTGGGTTGTTACAGACTGCCTGCAGATGTATGGAAAAACGACCCTCGAAAGTGGCCTTCGTCGATTTTGGCTGCATCTACGTCTAATTTCTGGAAACACCAGGTGAATACCCCACTTGTCACAATAATATTATCATGCCATTGCATATATGTGGTATTTTAGAGTTGACTAGATATTGATTAAGGCAATAGACTATGATATTCAGTACAGGAAGCTTAGCAACACCTAGAAGGTGTACGGCTAAACCCTTGGCCTGCTTGCACCTCGCGTAAAATGGCAGATACCGGAAGTACGGTGTCGCCCTCGGCCCAATACCCGTATGTGTGTGTGAAAGAATGCACTCTGAAACTGCAGGGGCTTTCAATTGGAGTTACAACGTCAGTTTCCACAATTAGAGTTACAATCCCCAAGTTACAACATTGCCAAAATCAAGGTCCTGGTTTTTCAGAGCCTCACGATGATATAAGTATAAGTTAGCAGGTACAAACACAGCAGGATAATGACTATGAACCCAACAATGACAGTTTCCACATCGACTTCCTTCTTACATGTTCATGTTGCACAGAGGGTAGATGTTGGTATAACAAGGAAGCATATGAAGACTTGTTGGACCCTCTGCTTCATACGGGAATACATTTAAGTGTTCATGCTCCATACGTCTGTCACACACTCTATAAAGAGACAGAGATGTATGTAAATGATAAAAGCATTATGTTAATAAAAGGTGTTCAAATATGGACTCAAATCTTTCAATTTCAATTTGTTTTGTGCACAGATTTCAGGGAAAATGCACTCAAAATGTTGACTTTTACATTTTGTAAAACTTGTCTATTGATAGACATCCAATTACTTTAACTATTAAATGAATATAGTCGGAGTAATGTAAGGTTATTTTGTGCTAAAAACAATGTGACCTCGCCAGGCCCGGACTGGCCATCGGGAGGACCGGGAGGTTTCCCGATGGCCTGGCCTGTTAAGTGGCCTGCTGGCCTAAGGATTTTTTTTAATGAATGTATTGTGAACGCAACGCTGCGCAAATGTGGGTCTGACTCTGCCTCACAGAGGGTGACTGGCTGTATACATTATGTGGCCTGCCGACATGGCCACTTTCATACAGATCCTACACCAATGCCCTCGATTGGTCTCTGTGTGTCATTCAAGCTCGGGAGGGTATGTATGTGTGGCGTGAGCGAGCGAGAGAGAAAGCGTGCGCACCGGTTACGTGTATTGTTGTTGTTTCCATCTGGTGCTAGCTGCACTAACGGATATCATGAGCTGTCAACAAGGTGGAGAGTCCTCTGCTGTCAGACTGAGACTGATAACTACAGCTCAGGTGAGGTAAAGGACTCTGAGTGTTTAGATAGTTAACTTAGTCGAAGTTCTCAGTGGGTCTCAAACGGTTTGGTCACCATTTATGTAAACCCATATTTCCATTTGAAGGGGGAGTGATTAGTAAAATATGCGTGAATAATAAAAAATAAAATGTTAACTAGGTGAAAAAAGGTAAGATAAACTTTATAAACTTGTTGAGAGCTAAAACTAGTCTTTGCTGCTGCCTCAAAGAGGAGCAGGGGGAGAGGAGGGAGACGGGTGAGGCTGGTTCAGGAGCACAGACACACTCACAACTATAAATGAACCAAAAACAAATAAATAAACAAGTTTCAATGTTTTTTCATATTGGATATGGTATGTTATTGGTTACGGCCACCAGATTGATGCATTTAAGTCCAACATTTAAAAAAAAATTTCAGGTCCCCCTCCACTTAACATATGTTCACATGGATAAGTTCCTAGATGTGCACAGCAACGCCTAAATAGATGTGCACAGCAACACTGTATATATTGACAAATAAATCCAGGAAAATGGCACAAAAGAAAACTGGTAGTGGCCTGGCTGGGTGTATCATTCCCGGCCTGACTTATTGTCCCAGTCCGGCCCTGGACCTCGCTCTCCTAAATATTTCAAGGTTTAAAGATCTTATTTTTCATCATTGTACAACACTGAGAAATAAGAGGAAAAAAAAGAATGCAGAAAAAGTCATCTTGAAATATTGTAATATTGGACACCACTCTTAATCAAATCTTTGTACTTAAACGGTATGCGCGGACTGGACATGCATTTATGATTCACTATACATGTAATGTGGTTAATCGATTTCATAGCAAGAAAAATAAATAAAACAGTGTTTTTATTACCTTTTCCTGCAAAGTTCTGTCTTCATAATCCTTGATTTACAACCATCGACTTTGGCCTACAAAATAGAGAAAATAAGAGAGAACTTTAAGAAATTTTGAGATATGACAACTTATTAAAAATAAAATAACAAATGACCCAAACTAGTAGAATGTCCACTGAGAAAAATATTATTTGTACCTCTCAGACTTTTTAATTGGCTCCTGTGGGACTGACTGCTGCTCCTGTTGTCTGTGCTCCTGCTCCATCCTACACACACACACACACACACACACACACACACACACACACACCACACACACCACACACACACACACACACACACACACACACACACACACACACACACACACACACACACACACACACACACACACACACACACACACACACACACACACACACACACACACACACACACACACACACACACACACACACACACACACACACACACACACACACAGTTATTGTAGTAATTTGGGTCGATTTCAAGTGCAGCTATGCATGTGCAATAAAAATGTATGTACCTTTCTCTCCGTGCTTTAATCCTCTCCTCGTCAAATCTGAAAATGAGTAACAGTGTTATATCCTCCAGTAAATCAAATAAAGAACTAGAGCACCAATCTTACTTCACTTTTATTAAAGAACAAGTCAATAAAAGCTAAACGTAGTCTATATTTTATATGTAGATTATATTCAAATTAGAGTTACTTTTACTTAACTTTTCATTTTATACTACTAATACAGGGGAAAGCTAGTACACCTAATTAGATGTTTTAGAATTTAAATGTTACTAATAGACTGAAGGCTTAAGGGTTTTTCTGGGCAGAAATTGTTAAATTAAAATCATCCGTAAACATTTTGAGCAATAAAATACAACATATATCAATAAAGAGGCTATACAAATATAAAGCAAAACACTGAAGGAGATGATTTTACTGCACAACAAATAATTTTAATTGGAGTATATTTAGCTAATAATGAATATATACTTTTCTCAGGCAAGTATTAGTAATTCAAATGTATCTGCTTCTAATTAAGTAGTACTTAGGTATACAGTCAAGTACTTTTTCCTCCTCTGCCTCCAGATCTACATGTGAGTGTTGTTATAGTAAAGACAGCAGGAGAATCTGCAGCGGCTCGTTCCCCCCCCCAGTGTTCAGAGATACTCACTGCACCACACACTCAGGAACATGGACGTGCTCCATGGGGACGAGCTCTGCCAGTTCATCCAAACTGTGCACGTACTGGATCTTATTCATGAACTTCACACTGCACAGGAAAACACAAACACACACTGTTATGGTCACTGCATTACTGGTGTTACGGTTACATAATTATAATGGTGAATTTAAAGCAGATCTAGGGAGGTGGCTGTGGCTCTAGTGCGCTGGACTTCAAATCAGGGGATAGCAAGTTCGAGTCCCACTGCAGTCAGCATGTCGTTGTGTCCCTGAAGACACTTCACCCCAAATTGCTCCTGTGAGAATTGTCCATAGTACTGAATGTATGTAAGTCGCTTTGGATAAAAGCACTGATGTCTCTTTTCACGGTATTGGCTCATTTGAGTTGATAAATATTAATGAATCGAACCTTTGGAGTTGTAAATTACTAGTCATCATGTTTAGGTTTACATAGCAATAAATAAAACATATTAATCTGTGTGCTTCGATTTAGCATCCCAGTTCTAGTTAGGCTTTAGGCTGTGTCACTCGATGAGCTTGCCTTATTTGTTTGCTCTTTTTTGTCATGCACAATCCTGGAAATGGATATCAATGTGTTGTTTAAAGTCTCTGAGTAACATATTATAATACATCTTCTTTGAGGCGTCCATGTTGTTTCTGCTTTACGACTTAAAGCTCCCAACCCTGGAAATGGGACCACACAAGGAGCATGTGGTTTTTTAAGCTTTTGCAGTTAAGTGTGTGGGTGGCAAGTGGGTAAAGTCGGGGATTCATGAACACTTGGATGTTCAGTAGCCTTACCAAATCCTTACCTGATACCAAAAATGTGTTTGTTTGTTTATTTTTGCACATCACTACTGCGAAAAATACCTGTGCAAAAGAAAGGATGGATTCCCCACTTTGAAACATGGTTGATCGGCTTGTGTGTGTGTGTGTGTGTGTGTGTGTGTGTGTGTGTGTGTGTGTGTGTGTGTGTGTGTGTGTGTGTGTGTGTGTGTGTGTGTGTGTGTGTGTGTGTGTGTGTGTGTCTCTGTGTTACCTGATAAATGGTCTGGATATAGCCAGCACGGTGCGTATGAACCAGGTGGGATGAGCGATGACCAAAGACTTCAGGTTCTTCCTCAATCTGCAAACACAACACAAATAACCCAGTCCATTCAGTTAACAGCGTTTAGTTAGTGTTTACAAAATACATGTAGTACTTCAACCACAAAATGATGATTCCTACATCAATTACTTTACCTTGAATTCTTGCAGAAAACTTTTTATTCTCACATGCTTCTATGGTGAACAAATAATTAAAAAACTAAAAACATTCTTGATGAATTTAAGTTAGAATTGAAGTTAATAACAACAGCAAGTCTATATCAAATATATGTTTAAAAACTCTTACAGTCTCATTTATCCACTCATATGTCAGTAGTTCACAAACAAGTGCTTTTCACTACAACCTTAATATTCATCACGTACTTGAATGCAAGTGTGAGACTGTTTTTGTATGCAAGTGTTTTGAATAGTATGTTTTTTAATATATGATTGTGAAGTAGTGAGACTTGGATTAAAGTGCACAAGTTGTGTGAGACTTTGTACACAATTCTTTTTAAACATAGATTTGCTATTCTACGCTCAAACCCCCATTTATCTCAATCAGAAACTATTTTCTCTGTCAACGGATTCTTCGTTCATCGTGAAGGCATGCCGAAAAAACACTGCCTTTTCTGCAGGATATAAAGGTAACACAGGGTGTGTCATCGATATATAAATGATCATTTGTGTGGGTGAGGTACTCCTTTAACAAGAGGCTTTCTCTGAGCAGAGACAAGTTTTAAATATAACCTCTGAATCATCCTCTGACTGACAGAAAGGGACAACTTCCATTAACCCCCCCTCTCTATCTGTCAGTATCAATGTCATGCTTTCTGTAACCTGACTGTGATAATGCTCAGCAGATAAATATAGCATAGTGGACCTAACTCTGATTCTAGTCAACTTTTAATTATCCAGCGTATAATCTCATATATGTGGGAGTATTTTCTCCATAGCCTCCCACCTCCTGTCAATCATCTGGTAGCATCTCTTCAGCCAGCCGATGCCGGGCATCTTGTTTCGAGGCGTCGCTCCGTTCATGTAGATGATCAGATAATCTTCAGCCACCAGCATCTCCAGACTGCTCACCACGTACCTGCAGGAGGAGGACAGCTGTCAGGGCTTTCTGTGCAAAGAAAACACTGCATTAACTCCAACAACAGTAATATGAAAGTGTCCGGCATCATGGAGGGATTATGAGGCAAAAGGCACCTCAAAAGAACAACCAAAACAGCAATATTTGACACACACACCTCCTTATAATATTTGTATATAGTGCTTTATTCTTATTTATCCCACATTTAATCATTTTTTTGCATTACATTAGTGCCATACTCTTTCTTATGCTTGCATTTTTTTTACACACAGCTTATGTGTAGTTATATATTTAATATTTAATATTTGTATGCTTATGTTGTAGTTTAATTCCGATTAGGTCTTGATTACGCTTTAAATATTTCGGTTTTACGTAAAATAATAATTGTATTCATACATTTCCGACCATCTTTTATCCATATCCACCAACAAGACATCTAATTTTCATTTTCATTTTATATAAATAATGATTTTATTGCAACCAGTGCTTTTATTTTTTATTTGCTGACCCTGTGTGAACTTAAAAATGAAACTAACCCATATTAACTATACTAACCTATTTCTGATTTCTTGAGATGCCTGGTTGTACTTCAACTAAACCCTGTATGATTATTATTAGAACCTGTATTTTAATATCATATTTGACTCACAGGAAGAGGTTCTCCATGATGTAGTGGTAGTCGGAGCAGCTGCTGTCCGGCAGGTAACAGGCGGAGAAAACGATGATGGCGTTCAGACCCTCCCCATAATAACCTGAGGAGGGAGGTTCAGAGGAAACATGGCATAATGCTTCTCTGGACGTGGCTTGATATACAATCAGATAAAATAGATAGGATTCAATTATATTCAATAAGAACAGATAAGATAATACCTTTATTTATCTCATATTGGGAACATTTAAGTTAGCACAAGACATAAAAAAGCACTAAAAAGTGATGAAAATATGCAAACATATGCATTTTTCTCTACTGTTGATATGTATTTATTCTTTATGTTAATTCGTGTTTATTTTTTATTTTACTAAGATTTTACTAAGATTTTAACTAATGTGTCATGCCTTTCTGCTGCTGTGACGAAAAATGTTCCCCCAACAATGTGGGATTAATTAATTATATCCAGTCTGATCTTAAGAGTATAACAAATATATTTGCCTCTGAATTGAAGCGGAGTAGAAGTATATAGAAGCTTAAGTAAGTAAAGTAAGTAAAATAACTTTAATTATTCTTCCTGTTAACCTCTGGCTGACTGACCTCCATGAGAGATGACCCTGAGGTAGGAGCTGACTGACCTCCATGAGAGATGACCCTGAGGTAGGGTCTGACATGGAGGTGACCCTGAGGTAGGAGCTGACTGACCTCCATGAGAGATGACCCTGAGGTAGGAGCTGACTGACCTCCATGAGAGATGACCCTGAGGTAGGGTCTGACATGGAGGTGACCCTGAGGTAGGATCTGACTGACCTCCATGAGAGATGACCCTGAGGTAGGGTCTGACTGACCTCCATGAGAGATGACCCTGAGGTAGGGGCTGACATGTAGGTGACCCTGAGGTAGGAGCTGACTGACCTCCATGAGAGATGACCCTGAGGTAGGGTCTGACTGACCTCCATGAGAGATGACCCTGAGGTAGGGTCTGACTGACCTCCATGAGAGATTACCCTGAGGTAGGGGCTGACATGGAGGTGACCCTGAGGTAGGAGCTGACTGAGCTCCATGAGAGATGACCCTGAGGTAGGGGCTGACTGACCTCCATGAGAGATGACCCTGAGGTAGGGGCTGACTGACCTCCATGAGAGATGAGCCTGAGGTAGGGGCTGACTGACCTCCATGAGAGATGACCCTGAGGTAGGGGCTGACTGACCTCCATGAGAGATGACCCTGAGGTATTGGCTGACTGATCTCCATGAGAGATGAGCCTGAGGTAGGGGCTGACTGACCTCCATGAGAGATGACCCTGAGGTAGGGGCTGACTGACCTCCATGAGAGATGACCCTGAGGTAGGGGCTGACTGACCTCCATGAGAGATGACCCTGAGGTAGGGTCTGATGATCTGCATGTCGATGCGGTGCTCCTGCTCCCCGATGACCACGGTCCTCCAGAGTCTCCCGCTGTTCCCCTCGTCCGCCTGCAGGGGGCCGGAGGCGGGGGCCGCTTTAGCCGAGGCTACCGGGGCGTCGTCTGGAGGGAAACAGAATACCATGAAGATGCATCTATTGTATCCGCTCATAGAACACGTAGAAGGAATTCAGTATGGTGTACAAAGGTGAATACAGAAACACAGTGAGAGGAAAGAAAGTTTAAATTTGTTTTAAAAAGTACGATTAAAAATAACAAACATCACATATTTTGGGAGTTTATGGACATACCTTCAGAAAGCAAAATCACACATTTAAGTAATACTTTCTGAAGAAATGGGGAAAAAAGCTTACATTTTATTAATGAATTGTCTTCCATTTCATTGCAGTGTGAATATTTTGTATTCAACTTCCAACCAGAGCATGGATACCAAATTATTTATTTTGTTCCTTCTTAATGTTTTGTCTAATTTGGATTTTCATCAAAGAAGTGTGATCAGAAAATCAATCAATTCCAAAGTTCAGCTGCGTGAAATAATGTTCTGATTTTTGTACATCTTTGCAGTAAACCCAATTCTGATTCTGTTTCTGAATAAACAATCAGCCTACTGCATTCAAATTAAGATCCTAAAAAAAACTAAAAGTCAGAGTTCAAGGGGTAACACAGTCATGCATGTTTTGTTCTTATTTTTTAAATTCTGAATCTGAATAATGAACCTTTTGTATTTTAAGTTGAACACATATCATTTTTAAACTAGTTCCTATAGGTCCGTGTCATGGTTCAATAAAGGGATGATGAAGGGGGTTCAAAGTCATGCATGTTTTGTTGTTGTTTTTTAACCCCTTACCCTCCCACTCCAGCTCGTTGCCGTTGGTGATGAATTCCAGAGAGTCCGTCTCGTCCGGCGTGTCCATGTCGTCCACGTTGATGTCCAGGTCGTCCGGCGTGTCCAGGAAGTCGTCCGACAGCAGAGAGCCTTCGCTGCGGTCAAGAGACAGATTCATCTCCGGGGCAATCAGCGTCCGCCGTTTACGGGACGAAGAAACGCCGCCGCCGCCTCCTCCTCCTCCTCCTACTCCTCCTCCTCCTCCTCCTCCTCCTCCTCCTCCAGGGGGAGACACATCCAGGGAGAGAGCTGCAGGGAGACCAGAAGATCAGGAAAAACTAAATGTGAGTTATCTCAAGTGTGATGGATACTTCTGAAGCAATTGGAAACAGGACTCAGAGAGACACGGAGAGAGCTGGAGCTTTGATGGCAAACACTGACGGGTTATTTGGAGCTTCGGCCGGAGAATTCACAAAACATGTGTAGTGCCACGAGGTGACAAACCAATTCTGAAGATCTCTACCCCTGACCCATGTATTTAGCTGGTTCTGAGAGAAGAATCAACATTGTGCATATTAAGATCAAACCATAACACCTCTATGAGGAATATGGAGACAAAACACTGAGAGCACGGCAGCCCAAGGTTGCAGGCCTGTCCTCAGTGCAAACTGATAAACTGGGTCAAAGCTATGGGCGCAGGAAAATTACATTACATTACATTACATTACATTACATTACATTGCATTTAGCTGACGCTTTTATCCAAAGCGACTTACAATAAGTACATTCGACCAGGAAGACACAACCTTGAAGAAAACAGAATCATATAAGTACATCAGGTTTCATAGAGCCAAACATTTCAAGTGCTACTCAACTGGCTTTAGATAAACCAGTCCTTTATTAGTATAAAAGAGCTTTGTTAATAGTTCTATCGCTCGAAGTGGAGTCGAAAGAGATGAGTTTTCAGTCTGCGCCGGAAGATGTGCAAGCTATCTGCTGTCCTGATGTCAATGGGGAGCTCATTCCACCATCTTGGAGCCAGGACAGCAAACCCACAAAATATTTCCCCAACATCAAGAAATACATGTAATTATAGTTAGAAACTGTTCCGTTTAATCAGAAAGCTATGTTACTCCGATTATGACCTCGGAAGGGGGAGATAGTATTGTTTTTATTTGTAAATAAATGAAATACCTTTGTGTATGAAAAGTGCTATATAAATAAACTTGAATTTGATTTGATTGGTATTTTTACATTTTATTTCCATTGTCTTTAAATGTATGCTCTACATGCATTTGATAAATGTAGTTACTATACAGATTTAGATTAATTAGGCAAGGCAAGGCAAGTTTATGTATATAGCACTTTTCAACACAAGGCAATTCAAGGTGCTTTACAAAAAATGAAAGACATTCAGAAAATGGCATTTAAAATCAGTCATTAAAAAGAAAAGCTAATAAAATAAACATTAAAAGAAAAAATACATGGATAAAAGTTACAGTGCAGTTTAAGATATGAATAGTTCAATTAAAAGCAGCGACAAAAAGTTACACAAAATATAATTAACAAATGAAATATCCTGCATTGATATAGGTTAAGATATTCATTTATTTGTTTGTGAAATATAGAAGCTACCTGGCAGTAAAGGTAGTCTTTTATACATGAATATATGTCCCCGGTGTGTCAGGGAACTCACCAAGTCAGAAAACACAACCCTCTCTATTTTCCTCCATACCCAAATCTCTTAAAAAGGGGCTGCAACGGATCTGATACAGACTGATCCAGATGTGAACACTTCTCTGATGTCACAGAAGTGGCTACGGCTATTGGGCCAACTCCACCAATCAGGAGGAGACAGCCACGGACATTGCCGTTCGAAAGCGCTGGAGACGCTGTAGTACATATGCCAGGCCTGTAGATGGCGCTGTTCTCACAGAATCAGCCCGTGCAAAGACAGTGTTAAATTGAGCGAAATGAGGAATGGCTAAAATGCATGATCTGTTTGGTATTTTGAAAAATAAAAAGTATAAATATGCCTTATATAGGTATGGTCCTACACTATATTATTCAAATATAGCATGATAGGTCCACTTTAAACCATTGATAATTTAACATTTTATAAAACAAGAGCATTTCTTTTAAACCAAGGTAAATAACCGTCTGATAATTGGTATGTTTTATCTATGTATGTTTATGTAGCTCAATTGAGTGGCATTATCTGCTGGCATGTGACTGTTTTTGATTGGTTGCGCCCTTTTTTTAAAAACATATTTTGAGCTTTTCTAAGTTTCTCCATTGGGTATCTTTGCTGTTGTTAACTTCTTCCAGTGTGACGTTAACCCACCACTGCTCATGAATCAGGGTTTTAATGTCTTCCTCTTACTGACCCTCCTCTCCTCAGTGTTCTACTCACAGTTTCTGTCGTCTGTGAGACCGCAGGACGGGTCCATGTCTCCGTACTCTGGGAGGGGTCTGCAGGGAAAACACACACAGGTGAGCAACCAGCCTTTGAGGATAACATTTAAAGCAAAGTATAGCTTTTTGAATAAAATAAAAATATATAGTCAAGATGCTGCAGACAGCCGAAGTTTAGCAGGACAACCATCACTCTTAAAACCAGCTTTGATACGATCTATATCCCATTTTCTTTGTTTTACAGGATGCATCAATCACTAAAGCCTCTTTTAGACTGCAGAACTTTCCGCATGGTAAAGCAACATTTTGAGGACATTTAACCCCAAAAAAGACCCTGGTTGTGGGGTTTGCAGAGATGTCTGTCACCTTTGTTCAATGTCATGATGCTTTTTCATGAGTCAGTTTTCCTCATTTACCCAGCTCTTTTGACGTATGGAAACACGTGCAACCATCGGCTAAAAGTCACCTTATAATCCACTGAAAAAGACAAAAATAACCAGTAACGTCTCGATGGAAACACAGCTTTACTGTCTGCCACAACAAAATGTAACCTTGTGATTAAGTTGATGTTAATGGACCAGTAAAGGTGTGGGGGGGGAGAGGAGTTGATCATTAACGTGTCTCTGGGGAGAAATGAAGATTACAGGGCTGCCAGGTGAGGCGTGAGGAGGGGGAGGAAAAGAGGAGGAAGAGGAGGAAGAGGAGGAAGAAGTCTTTTTTTTTAACATATATTTTTGGGGTATTATGTATTATGATGATATACTCTGTAATTGCCCAATTGAAACTGCTTTGCAATCAGATTTAATCTACCAATACATCCGTTTACCTCCCCTTATCATCATTATTCATTGTATTATTTCTTATTATTTAAATGATTTTTAATTCTCATTATCTTATTTTTAAAATACATGTATTTTTAATGTTTATTATTTTACTATTTCTTTAACTTTTAATCTATTTTTTATATTTTATTTATTTAATTTCTATATATTTCCTGCTTTTTTCCTCTATTAAAAAAAGTGAATTAAAAACTTAATTTTTTATGGCATGCTCGTTTATTTTGTTTTATTTACTGTATGAATAAAGGGTTGTTTTTGAACAATTTGGATAAAATAAACCAGTAAAAATAAATAATATATTATTCTTTAATCAACCATTGTTCAATGAGTACTCTAATACTCATTGAGCAATGATTGATTCGTAGTTTAAAGGGGACCTATCATGCAAAATGCACTTGTTGAAGTCTTGTATACCAACATATCAACATGTGTCCCCGGTGTGTCGGGGAACTCACGCAGCGTCAGAAAATAAAACCCTCTCTCTTTTCCTCCGTACCCAAATCTCTAAAAACGGGGAACAACGGAGCTGATCCAGATTTGCGTCCGATATGATGTAATATCTGAAATGTGGACCCACGGCCCAATCAGAAACGTTGCTATCAGAAACAATGCCCGACTGTTTTGGACGTAATATGGTCGGTGTTTACATTAGCATCGCTAACACTCAGAGCTAACCTGTACTGGAGAGCATGTGTGTGAAGAAGCAGGAAGTAAAAAGGAACTCACCTTGTGGTATAACCGGCAAGAGAGAAAGCCTTTGAGCTCCATACTGTTTCAGAGAGAATCCTTGATAATCCATGATATGGCGTTTCATCACGGCAGCATTTAGTTTAGACAGTAGCTGCCGTGTCCCGCATGAGCTCAGACCCCTGCTTTTTATTTTTTTTAAAGCTTTATACATAAAACCAGCACTTTAGAAACAGGAAGTGAAACAGAGGGATAGAGGCGTGGCTAGAATGGGTGATCTGTTTGGTATTTTGAGCAAAACACTTCATAGACATGTTTTTTATATTTTTGTATATATCTGAAACCTATGCTATTGCCTAAAAATAGCATGATAGGTGACCTTTAAGTACCTTTGATGCTAATATATTTACTTTAGAGAAAGGTAAGACGTGTCTCTGCAGCTCTTCTTCCTGCTTGTTATTCCCTCCTCACAAGAGTCAAACTCCTGCTCTGCATATGTTTGCATTAAACCCATCAAAGCACACGAGGACAGAAGTATGTTTTGCATAAAAGCAACAAAACCAGAGCAAACAGGGAACCAGAGCCAGGTTAGTTTCGGATTACCAGCGCAGTCTTTCTGCAGAAAAGGGTCTTATCTGCGTGGCTCTGTGCTCTCCTCCTGAGACAAAACCTCTGGCTTCCTCCCAGAGAAACAGACACTGATGATGGATGCTTTCTCTCCCCCCCGAGGACCCCTGCAGTGATTACTATCCTAACGCCTCCTCTGTCACACCAATAAACAGATTTATGGGGATTTCTTCCTTTAAACAAAAGTGAGATCATCTCTTTTGTGCCTCCAACAACAGGACGAACCGATGATGCTTACCTTCTGGAAATAGCACGAGGCTTCTGTTTTTCAGAGAGCTTTGTATAAAACCTCACACACCTCTGGTTTGCTAACTCATTCCCTCTCAGCTGATGGTGTGCAGCAGAGCGTCCCTCAGAGGCTGCTTTATTAATAATCCTTTTGTTCCTCCGTCTTTAAACAAAACCTGCCACCATTTCCCTGGCGATGCTGTGTTGTTGATCTGACTGCTGGGGCGTCATGTGACCAAACTGCACCTGCTGCCTGCTTCCTGACTCCCCATCGGAGGGGGGAGGAAGAGGAGGAGGAAGAGGAGGAGGAGTGTCATAACACTTCTCCCCTGCTCTCTTTCTGCTCATCAAGCTCTGACGCGTGGAGAATCAAATTCCCACACTTCCTAAATCCGTCTGTAGCAGCTCTGTGACGTATATTATAACGATGAGTCCAATATTGAAGCCCTTTTTGGGAAGAACCAACCCATTGGAAAATATGTTGGGTTTTAATTTACTGGGGTTACAAAATGGAGCGACATGCATCTCTTTAGGGCACACGTGTCAAACTCAAGGCCCGGGGGCCAAATCAGGCCCTTGGTGGATTTAATTTCGGCCTGCAGGATAATTTCTAATTCCTATTAGATCTGGCCCGCCGGTATATTGCACGCAGACCTTCCCTCCATCCTGAGGGTCTCCTCAGCTCAGAGCCTGACCCCAAACATTGATGACCTTGCTCCAAAGATGAGATGCCAAGTATCTGAGCTAGCATCACAGAGCAGCACACTGACTTTAATGGATGTTTCCTTCTGCACTTTTTCTCTCAGGACAACAGGGCATGTTTGGTTTTCTCTTTGAGGGAAATAGTTTTGTTGAAGCTGTTGTTGGCCTGTGGGAAAATGTACTCATAAGAAATGACTCTGGAAAATCTGCAGATAGAGCCATAAGAAATGAATGCACCTGATTATTTAATGTTGTTTTTATAGGCAATAATTTAAGCTGTGTTAGTTCCAGGTTTAATATGTGCAATAAGTTCATTTCAATAAGTTCTGCAATAAACATTGAACCAGTCCGGCCCTCCACTAGCACCGTTTCTTTTATTTTGGCCCACTGTGTATTTGAGTTTGACCCCCCTGCTCTAAGATATTGCATGTGACAGTCAAACACAACAAAACAAATGTCATGGCTATCAACAACATACGTTGGAAAAATGAAGAAATGTGCAAGATTCTCCTCAAAGACTTCATAAAATGACATTATAATTAGATCTAGCCCAAGTTCAGCAATCAGATGAGGTTATGTTGTATTATTATTTGTAATGATTTTGTAGAGTTTCTTATTTATTCATTTAAGAAAAAGAAAAAATGTGGAAAATAAATCATTAGATTGTTATTTTAAGTATGAATGTGTCAAACATTGCTGCACATTTCACCTCATCACAACAACCCCAAACTACAGTATCATAAAGAAATTAAGATTTTGTAACAAAAGGTGTAAATATCAGGCGTCAGATTAACACAAACATCCCTGCCTCTAAATCCGTGCAGACTAAACAGCATTTGGCCCAAAGGCTACATAAAGAAGCTCTGGTGACTAATCGACAATTAACTCTAAATAATGATCTCTTCATACATAATAACAAATGTGCTGCATATTAATCAACAAACACAAGCACAAGAAGATGCCACATGGCTAAAGGCACACACACAGATCTAAGAGATGCCTGAACACCAACAACAACAACAACAACAACTGTACGTGACATCAATAATCGGTGTAAATGAAAGGATCTGACCTGGGGAAGTCTTCATCCTGCCACTCGTCTTTCACCTCCAAGTTCTCCATTCGTAGAGTCGCCTCTGTGGTGCCCATCCCTCAGAGAGGAGAGCCTGGAGGGGGGGGGGGGGGGGGGGGGGGGGGGGGGGGATAGAGCTTATTAATGAAACCCAGTTACAGTTCAAAGAAAAGAGGAGAACTGTCTGATAAATAAGTGCACTAACTCTTCCGTCATGTCCGCAGGAACACGTGTCGGATTAGAAGTTGCCATTGTTTTGTTTTCGTTATCAAAGTTTCATTATAATTGCTCTTCGGTCACATGGTTTTGATCCCCCTGCCCAGAGGAGTGCATGTGAGCGGCATGTGACTCGGACAGACCCCCCCCCCCCCCCACCGAGCTCTCCTCAAAGTCAGATATCATGAAAAGATTTATCCAGGGAGGGACGACATGCACCCCTAACCCCCCCTCCTCCTCCCCCGTAATCCTGCTGCCTGTTTGATCTCTCTTAGAAAAACTTCTCTTCAGATCTGATATTCTTTGTGTGCTCTTGAGTTTGAAGAGAATTCACTTTGAGGGGAGACCAAAAAATACGAAAAGTCCTACATTTGAAATCCTGTAGTGTGTCGTATAGGTTTGTGTGCATGTAAGTGGTCTACAACGATCTCACATCATTCAATCAATCCCTCAAAGCTCACCTTTTCACTCTTGCCTTCAACTCAACCCACTAACCCCTCACCCTTATTCCACCTAGCTTAGCACTTTTTACTTTTGTTGTTATTTTTCTTCTTTACTTCCTTGTAAAGCGCTTTGAGCACCAGGAAAAGCGCTATATAAATCAAATGTATTATTATTATTATTATTACCAAGGCTAAAATCCCTGTGTTCGCTCCAGAGGGAGTTTCTCTCCCTGCCTGAAACGCCTCCATTGGACTCCTTAGTTTACTTCTGAAACATAATGACATCACTATGAAACACTCACACTTCAATTGGCTGTTCCTCCAACACATGGTACGTGATAGGCTAAGGGGCGGGACATCTCTAAGCGGTTGACCAATCATTAATCGGAAACTTGATCTTAAAGGTAGGTAAGAATGGAGAAACCAGCTCGAGTGCGCTAGAATTTGAAAGTACACAACCGGAAAGAATCTGCCCCTTCCTTCAGACTTCCTCACAGAGCCCCTCCTCCAACACACACGAACGCGCACATGACCAATGAGGGCATGAGATAAGTTTGTGCACAGATGGAAGGCTGACAGGCAGGTAGGCCATCCAGTTACTTTAGCCGGCCGGCTCAGATGATTGGTCGTGCTTTTTACAGCGCCACGGCTTCCACAGATGACTTTTTTGTATGTATTTATTGTCAAAGCATTTAATGTATTCATTGCTATCGGGATGTTAAGAGCATTCCATGGAATATAACAAGTGTTTCTGAAATAAATGACATACCCCACCTTTAAGTAAGCGGCAGCAGACAGCAAAGTACAAACGCTGATTTTAAACATGAATCTATTTTATTCTGTGTTTTTACTGATTTTAAAACCAGCTTGTTTGTTTTTGAGAAGGGAACATGTTTGGGTAATTTGGCTTCCAGAACAAATCCATCTAAACTATTAACAATAGTTTCAACACACAACTAAACTCCTTCTTCTATTTTTGATTGAGAGCCCCCTAGTGGCAGAAAAATACATATTGTGCTTTAAGATTTCTACAAAATGCTGTATGGAGAAATTGACCTTCACTTGAAGATCTGTTGAATACATTTCATTAAAATACAAACAAGTGTTTTGCTGAAAGAAATCAATGTTGGAAGACCATTGTTATTACTATTTTGCCACAACAATTTGTACCAGATCTGATTTTGTAGTAGTTGCTTCTGGGTTTTTGTGCTCTTATTTTCATGTGACAACCTACTATAGATAATCCTTTATCAATCCCACAACAGGGACATTTGCAGAGTATTAATTAATTAAACCTTTAACGTATATTTTGTAGCCGAAGAATACATTTTGTGCTCTAAGATTTCTACAAAATACTGCAAGGAGAAATTGAGCTTTACCTCACAATGTGACCCTTTACATATATGATTGACATTGATTGATTGCATGCATGAGTTACATGCTGAAAAAACATATTCATGCAAAATGCATTGCCTCATGATGTGCAACCCAGTGCCATTTCCCTGAAAATGGCAGCACAGTGTTTCTGGGTCATCCCAAATGTGACAGCCTGAAAGGGGAAACACCCTGGAGATATTTGATGTCTTAATGCATGCATGCAGTCATTCTAATGTGCATTATGAAGAATAAAGATGCCTGGATGATATACTCACATGAGCGGTGTTAGAAACCTCTCTCTGGTCAGTGTGTTCTCCCCTCTCTTCGGTCTGCGAAGATTCAGGCTGAAATTCCTCCCGTCTCTCACTCATTCACATGCACACGTGCACGCTCATGCACACAGACACAGTGTCCTCGCTGTCAGACGCTCTCCAGCAGCAGGTGTCTGCAGACAGGGGGCACCTCTGTGATGCTGCACCCCAAACCCCCCCCCCCCCCCCCCCCCCCCCTTCAACCAGCCTCTGGCCACCGTTGATGGGGAAAAGACTGGCTGTGCAGAGCAACCGACAACAGCTACCGACATACACAATTCCTTTAAATAAAATGCCTCTGCTCTGGCATCTCTATCTTCCTCGTTTCTCTGCAACTCCCCTTCTTTTCCCACTCCTAAATTATCTCTTATTTGCAGGATAACGTGCACAAATCTCTGTTGCTGATTTTTTTCAGTGGTCCGCTATTGTAGCTTCTGTCCCCAGCAACAGCACTCTCTCTCTCTCGCTCATCTCTCTCTCTCTCTCCTCTCTCTCTCTCTCTCTCGCTCTCTCTCTCTACTCTCTCTCTCTCTCTCTTCGTCATTCTTTCTCTCTCTTCTCGCATTCCATTGCTTGCTTTCCGTTGCTACCCCTAACCTACCCCTCTCCCCACATGTTAAATATTCAGTGCTTACTTCTACTGTCAACCCAACCAATCCGTATCACTGGCAAAAGTGGATTGCTGGCTGCACACATAACAAGCCTCTTTATATATCATTTTGCCCCTAGTAGTAGTTTAAATCATGGTATTCATAAAGTTAATGTTTATATCTGACATCTGCATCCTTATTTAGAGTCAAATCATAATTGCCCTCATGTTTTGTGGGTGATGCCTTAAAAACCCAAGGTTGTTTTTACCCTATTAGCTGAATTTCACGCAGTTTGTGAAGAAACTGTTGGAATTGTTACCTTTACATTCGCTTATATCTTAATATCTTCATAAATGCAAGCGTGATTCACAGGAACAGGCGACATTCATCAGAAATAGCAGGTGGATATTGAGCTGCGAGCAGAGCAAGAGGATTCCCTTCCACTTACTTCCGGTTTCATGTGAACCCGTTTTTGAAGACAGTGTAGTTTGAAAGGTCCTTTTTTAAACAATAAGTCCGTATTCCTTCGTAGTATGTACTTATGTCATGTTCTGTCCTCCATCCCTATGTGCTCGTTGTGTGCACAAAGGTTCAAATTCAATCAAATCAAATCACAACAAGACCTATAGCTGAAATGGGGGACCCTGATGTAAACAAGACGAAAGTCTTTCTCTGGTCTGCATCCCCTTAACAATTGTATGTTTTGAGCTGTACTGTACTGTACCCAATATACAAGCTGTTAATAAACTTTTCAATCAATCAATCAATCAATCAATATAGCTTCATTGTTTAAAAAACACATTGGTGGTCAATAGGTGTATCCATTGACTTTTTATGCAGGTGCTCAAGGTTCAACACCCAGGAGAGGGACTTTTTTTGTCTTCTGCTATAGGCTACAGATGGACGGTAAATCTCGAAAGATTGTCACCCATGTAAATGTGTAGAAAAATGTCTTAGTTAGCAGCAATGACAAAAACATTAACTGAAGCTTTTACACAACAAGTCCATGATTTAACTTGTTAATCAGAAATATGTTATAGGTCCAACAAACAGTTACATGTCAGTTTTTTGTGATTTATTTGAAATGAAATGATTAAAAACACGGACGCTATGGAAAAATCAAGTAGATGCAGTTCACCACCAGACCTCAAGGGGGCGATAGTCACTTACAGAGCATGAATACACACACAGCGAAATCAGCGGGGGCGGAAGTTGTGTCGGTTTATTTCGCTAGCTACTCACCTAGCATTAACAATAGCTTTTTAATATCCTTATATTCTAGTCATTATTCTCTCTGCACCTTTCACCGATTGTAGAAACGTTCAAGATTATACAACACATCTTATGAATTCGTTGATGGCCTGTTTGCGGCTCGGTGTAGCTTTGTTTAGAAATGACAACATTAGCGTTAGCATTTAGCTAAGAGCGGATTCGTTTGGACAGTACCGAAACACTGTATGAACACATGTGAATGAATGAAAAGTGTTAAAGTTTGACAGCTTGCGAGAAGCGTTTATTAACAAGATATTAAGCCATGGCCGGGGCCGATGTCCGGGATATCCTGGAGTTGGCTGGAGGAGACAATGACGGTCCCATCAGCAAGAAAGATATCATCAACTCAGACAAGGTGAGAGAAGATAACCATAATGATTCCTGACTGTCTAATGTTATTTTACTCAATATGCTACGAGTTGTACAGGCTGTGGGAATTTAAAAAAATACAACCATGCCATTCCCATAGCACTACATTTCGAAGTGCATGTTGTTATTCTGTAACCAAAGTTTTCTTCAAGGTAAATAAACATTTTCTCCATCACTTGTCTCAGAAAAAAAGCAAGAAGGCAACAGAAACGCTGACCTTCAAGAGACCAGAGGGGATGCACCGAGAGGTCTACGCTCTGCTCTATTCAGACAAAAAGTATGGGTTTCTTTTGATTTAGTCTAAAACCAATGCACTGAATTGGTTGAAGTGTGTGTCCTTAATGCCTTAAAAAGTTACTATGTTGCATGATAATCTTTCTCTCTACCAGGGACAATAATTGTTTCTTCCTACATCATTTGAGGATAGAAGAAAACAGCAATTGTTCCCTTAATGTCCTTGTGTGTAAACCAGAAATGAATGACAGCCCAGTATGTGTTCACCAACTCAAAAACAGTGTAAGACTTCATGTTAAGGCCTCACTATAAGCGTGCTTCCACTTAGTTTTATACAAAGGAGTTTTCAAGGCTGACGACTTATACTATTAACCCCTGGCTTTTTAACAGCTCTCTGACCTTGCACACTGCAAATGTATTTATATGTATTGTCACTTATCTGTATGAGCGGAATATCTTTATTTAATATCATTCTACAACAAAGGTTTGCTCAATAAAATACAAATACACCCCCTTTAAAAATCTTCCATTTACTGTATGCATTACCAATAAACACTTCTCTGCAGTCTGGTGGTAAGGCAGCGGATACTTTACCACTTGGTAGACATCAGCAGGGTAAACGGGCTGTTTCTGGGATGGGTATTGTCCTTTTTAAATATCCTATGAGCAGTTTTAAAACTGGCTTCATTCCTCCGGCCCTGTGTCTTTCCCAAACCATGATATTTTGTAATATTTACAGTCAGGGATCAGGAGGCTTTTGTTCCTTCGAAATAAGTTGATTTCTGCTTTCCTTAAGAAATACAGCTGGTTCTTACCCTTGGAATTAAGCCTCGGTACCTTTCCAACTTTACTGAAAATACCCTTGCTCTAACAAAGACTTTGTTCCTTCTAATCTCCAGAGATGCCCCCCCTTTGCTGCCCAGCGACACCACGCAGGGCTACAGGACAGTGAAAGCCAAGCTGGGCTGTAAGAAGGTTCGTCCCTGGAAGTGGATGCCCTTCTCCAACCCAGCTCGCAGGGACGGGGCCATCTTCAACCACTGGAGGCGTGTGGCAGAGGAGGGCAAGGACTACCCCTTCGCCCGCTTCAACAAGGTGGGGATGATGACACCGTCCTTATTCAATATCAGAATACCTTTATTCGTCCAACAGAGGGGACATTTGCATTTGTTACAGCAAGAAAAGAGCCAAAGACGGCTAAATATTATAAGACCTTTGTACATTGGATTTTGTCTCTACTTGAAATGTGTGTGATGTGTTCTTATGTCTGTTCCTTACAGGACTCCACGTGGTCTGTGTTTTGTTTTTATGTTAACCTTACATTTCTGCCTCATGTGGTTATTATATTCACGTTTCTGTGGTCTTCATTTGAACTTTGTTCTTTCTTGTGAAGCACTTTGGGAATTCTGTTTCTGTGAAAAGTGCTATAATAAATAAACGTATTATTATAATATTGACAAAGAAGCATGCATAAAAAATACAAATAAATAAATTACAAAACAATTCACAAAATACACATCCTGCAACAGTTCTGAAGATATAGCTGCCAGCATTTAACTGCATATATATATATATATATATATATATATATATATATATATATATATTGCACATCATTGGTATTGCACACAAGTAAGTAAGATTTATAAAGCGCTTCTCCCAGACATAGTCACAAAGTGCTTGACAAAGCATTAAAACATCATACGAATCAAAAAAGATTAAATGACCACAAGCCACGTGTTAAGAAGTACTAAAAACACAATAAAAACATACAACATAGAATAAAAGCACAAGGGGTGTTATAGTACAGTCTTTGTTGTTGTGTGTGGGGGTCTTCCTTTCTTCATGATGGTTACACAGTCTGACCGCTGCAGGAAGGAAGGAATACAAACACAAAGGACTTCTACCCTTTTTCTGTCATCTCCTCCTTTTCAGGGCTTAAAGGGGACCTATCGTGCAAAATGCACTTTGTGATGTCTTTTATACATAAACATGTGTCCCCGGTGTGTCGGGGAACTCACGCAGCGTCAGCAAATAAAACCCTCTCTCTTTTCCTCCGTACCCAAATCTTTTAAAAACGGGGCTACAACGAGCGGATTCAGATTTGCTGCCGATCTGACGTCAAATCGGCAGCGGACCCACAGAGAGTTGCCATCAGAAACAATGCCTGACGTGTTTTGGACGTAATCTGGTCTTTGTTTACATTAGCAAGCCTCGCTAACACTCAGAGCTAACCTGTACTGGAGAGCACGTGTGTTTAAAAAGCAGGAAATCACCTTGTGATAAACCTGCAAGAGAAAAAGCATTTGAGCTCCATACTGTTTCAGAGATAATCCTTGATGTGGTTTAGAACAGGATGGCGTTTTATCACAGCAGAATTTAACTTTATCTCCGGTATAATTCTGATCAGGCATTAGCTCCTCCTCCTTTTTAAAAAATTTTTTTAAGCTAAGGACCCAAAATCCGCGTTTCTCTAACAGGGCTGCAACAGAGGGGTATGAGCAGTATGAGGCATGGCTACAACGGGGGATCTGTTTGGGATTTGAAGCAAACTTCACAGACATGTTTTGTATAGGTATGGCCCTACAATATATGTTTCAAATATAGCATGATAGGTCCACTTTAAGATTCATTTACTTTTTCACTCAGTCACGAATTCCTGTATTCATTGTGTTCTCCTGTCTGCTTTTATAGACGGTGCAGGTGCCAGTGTACTCGGAGCAGGAGTATCAGGTGCATCTCCATGACGACGGCTGGACTAAAGCAGAGACGGATCACCTGTTTGACCTGAGCAAGCGCTTCGACCTGCGCTTCGTAGTTGTCCAAGATCGTTACGACCACCAGCAATACAGAGTAATAATAATCAGAATCAGGTTTATTACCAAGTAGGTCGACACGTACGAGGAATTTGACTTGGTGTTGTGGTGCATACATAAAAGTAAAAAAAAACAGATGGAGAACTATTTTAAGAACACTATAATATTAAAAAAATTATAATTAATATGTGCAGTAAAAAAAACATAATAATAATTGTGGGGGAAACTTCTGAAGCAACTAGAGTCAGGACTCAGAGAGGCACGAGGAGCGCTGGAGCTTTGATGGCAAACACTGACGGTTTATTTGGAGTTACGGCCGGAGAATTGACAAGACAGGTGGTGCGTCACGAGTTGACCCAGCGGCTGCCAAACCAATTCTGAAGACCTCTTTCTGCAGCTCGAGGTTTTAACTAGTTCAGAGTGTAATAATCAAGATTCTTCATCAGTGAGACTAAACATTATGGACCCTGAATCTAACTAGAGCTCTCGTCCATAGGAAAGAATGTGCGCCAGGGAGCCTTCGTCCCTGAACAGTAAACTACCTCATGGCGGCTTGTGCTCGGTCATAGACTGGCAACAACAATGCGCCCAAGCTGCTCCTCCTTAAGAGAGATAGCAGCAATACCCAAGGCCGTAGACCTATGCCGTGAGAAAGGAGACAGTGAGAGGAGAAGACGATGAACTGGGTTGAAGGTTGAATACCTAAGCAAATTATTCCCTAACAATAATAATAGTAAACTTTATTTGTTTAGCCCCTTTCATACAATAAGTGCAGTTCAAAGTGCTTCACAGTAGACCTCTCACAGAGAATTGATATCACATAGATTACAGTTACCAGTAAAATACATAAAAACACACTAAAAACAGCATAGAGTCGACATATAATAAATACATTTAGATTAAAGGTACGCCGTTGAAAGTGTGCATGAAAAGGAGGATAGTGCAAAATTCAACACGCAGGTTAAACGCATCACAATGCATTGAGAAAGTGCAGCAGAGAGCAGGACTTTGCTTCCTGAAAGGCTCAACTATTCAAATATGTTCTGATTTATTTTCTTTTTAAAGACTTCCCGGATGTCTACAGGTATTTTGTTCCATAGCTTTGGGACATAGTTAATGAAAGCTGTGTCACCAATCAAAGATCTACAGTCTCTCAACCCTTTCACACAGGATATATTACACACATCCAAATGTTCCATGTTAAAGGTCACCTGCAAAATCCTCTTCTTCATGTCTCCTCTACATCCAACATGTGTCCCCTCTTCTTCATGTCTCCTCTACATCAACATGTGTCCCCTCTTCTTCATGTCTCTTCTACATCAACATGTGTCCCCTCTTCTTCATGTCTCTTCTACATCAACATGTGTCCGCTCTTCTTCATGTCTCTTCTACATCAACATGTGTCCCCTCTTCTCATGTCTCTTCTACATCAACATGTGTCCCCTCTTCTTCATGTCTCTTCTACATCAACATGTGTCCCCTCTTCTTCATGTCTCTTCTACATCAACATGTGTCCCCTCTTCTTCATGTCTCTTCTACATCAACATGTGTCCCCTCTTCTTCATGTCTCTTCTACATCAACATGTGTCCCCCCCTCTTCTTCATGTCTCTTCTACATCAACATGTGTCCCCTCTTCTTCATGTCTCTTCTACATCAACATGTGTCCCCTCTTCTTCATGTCTCTTCTACATCAACATGTGTCCCCTCTTCTTCATGTCTCTTCTACATCAACATGTGGACCGCTCTTCTTCATGTCTCTTCTACATCAACATGTGTCCCCTCTTCTTCATGTCTCTTCTACATCAAACATGTGTCCCCTCTTCTTCATGTCTCTTCTACATCAACCTGTGTCCCCTCTTCTTCATGTCTCTTCTACATCAACATGTGTCCCCTCTCTTCATGTCTCTTCTACATCAACATGTGTCCCCTCTCTTCTTGTCTCCTTCTCTTCCATGTCTCTTCTACATCAACATGTGTCCCCTCTTCTTCATGTCTCTTCTACATCAACATGTGTCCCCTCTTCTTCATGTCTCTTCTACATCAACATGTGTCCCCTCTTCTTCATGTCTCTTCTACATCAACATGTGTCCCCTCTTCTTCATGTCTCTTCTATGTTCTTCTTACATCAACATGTGTCCCCTCTTCTTCATGTCTCTTCTACATCAACATGTGTCCCCTCTTCTTCATGTCTCTTCTACATCAACATGTGTCCCCTCTTCTTCATGTCTCTTCTACATCAACTAATGTGTCCCCTCTTCTTCATGTCTCTTCTACATCAACATGTGTCCCTCTTCTTCATGTCTCTTCTACATCACATGTGTCCCTCTTCTTCATGTCTCTTCTACGATCAACATGTGTCCCCCTCTTCTTCATGTCTCTTCTACATCAACATGTGTCCCCTCTTCTTCATGTCTCTTCTACATCAACATGTGTCCCCTCTTCTTCATGTCTCTTCTACATCAACATGTTGTCCCCTCTTCTTCATGTCTCTCTACATCAACATGTGTCCCCTCTTCTTCATGTCTCTTCTACATCAACATGTGTCCCCTCTGTGGAAAGAGACTCTGAAAGTTTCAGGAACAAAGATTCTCTCTCTTTTTGATCCATTTCTATAAAAACCTGTCTGAAAATGAGCTGATCAGATTTGGCCACTTTATGATGTCATAACGATGTTTTGTCTTGTGTAACCATTAGCCAATCAGCAACCAAGGTAACCCCCCCCCCCCTTATCACCTGAATCTCCTCCTAGAGCACCATTGAGTTCTTTGTAACCAAATATCTCTCAGAGGGGCGTGGGGAGGGGCTCCTTATTTTCATCTAAAGTAACAGACAGAGAATCAGCACTTTGGAAACAGGGCTGAAACAGAGGGGATTATGGGTAATGCTGCAATGATCTGTTTGGTGTTTCAGCCAATCAGAGACAGGTTCTGTATACATCTGAGACCTGTGATACATTGATGAGAAACAGTATAATGGGGGACCTTTAAAGTATACATTCGTAGTGACGTGCTTTCTTTTCCTCCTCAGAAACGTTCAGTGGAGGACCTGAAAGAACGGTATTATACTATTTGTGGTAAGCTGGCCAAAGTGCGTGCAGTTCCAGGGACGGAGCCCAAGATCTACGTCTTTGATGCCGGACATGAGAGGCGGCGCAAAGAACAGCTGGACAAGCTGTTTAATCGCACACCTGAACAGGTTCGTAGTTTGATTTGGATTCTAATGTTCCAACTCTAATACTGCCCTGCAATACCAGAAGCAGTCATTCTGTGTGTGTGTGTGTGTGTGTGTGTGTGGTGTGTGTGTGTGTGTGTGTGTGTGTGTGTGTGTGTGTGTGTGTGTGTGTGTGTGTGTGTGTGGTGTGTGTGTGTGTGTGTGTGTGTGTGTGTGTGTGGTGTGTGTGTGTGTGTGTGTGTGTGTGTGTGTGTGTGTGTGTGTTGTGTGTGTGTGTGTGTGTGTGTGTGTGTGTGTGTGTGTGTGTGTGTGTGTGGATTAACTACATAATAGATGACAAGTACGAAAATAAATAATATTAATAATATTACAAATAAAAGAATGGATACATTGTTATTACTCAGGTATACATTAATTACATTGTTCTATTCTTGACCCATTTTTCCCACCTTTACTCAAAGATATGCATTTGGTTTCTAATCTGTTTTTCTCCATTACATAGATTTACTAAGTTATTCCATTGTGAGTTTACTAAGTGATTATCTTTTAGCCAATTCCTTGTCATTTGTTTGATGATCGCTATTCTAATTCTCACTGTTGCCTTTTGTGGATTAGAAAGAAATTCAACAATATATTGCCGATGCTTTTAAAACGTTTTCGCAAGTCTTTTGGAATATTAAGAGCGCACCTCTGTTGCTCTTCCTGCAGGTGGCAGAAGAGGAATATCTTACTCTGGAGCTGAGGAAGATTGAGAGCAGGAAGAGGGAGCGCGAGAAGAAGGCCCAGGATCTGCAGAAACTCATCAAAGCAGCGGACACGACCACGGAGCTCAGACGAGCCGAGAAGAGAGTCTCCAAGAAGAAGCTGCCGCAAAAAAGAGAGACAGAAAAACCGGTAAGACTCAAAATGAGGGAAATAAATCACAAGCAATCATAAATCGTAGCTGAGAAGCTTTTACCAGCAAATGCAACATTATTTGTTATAAGGAACAGCTGTTAACCTTATGATAGAGCTTCTTCTATGACGTAGCACACTGAAATAATTAAGATTACTGTCTGAAAAAATATTTGTTTTACTTTACTAGAACAGCTGTGTCATAAAGAAACTAAAGGGGCTACATTTTATGAAATTAGTACCCATCTCACTAAATTAGAAGACTATTTTTTCATGTTTAAAATATCCAAAGTTCAGAGGGGTGTTTTATTTTGTATCTCATCAGATGTTTTCTTTTTGTAGTCTGTTCCAGAAACAGCTGGCATCAAGTTCCCTGACTTCAAATCCGCGGGAGTCACACTGCGCAGTCAGAGGGTGAGTATTTATACTACATTTGTATATTCCAGGGTTCCTACGGTCATTACAAACCTGGAAAAGTCATGGAAATTCAAAATGCTAATTCCAGGCCCTGGAAAAGTTTTGGAAAACAATATTTTTCCCAACGTTTTGGAAAAGTCATGGAAATGTAACTAAAGTTGCTTCAAATATAATTTATATTTTATCTAATCGCCGAAATAGTAATTCTATAATGATGATAAATACTGTATCGTTTAGTAATGAAACGTAAAATGGCTTTTAACTGACGAGGTGTTTTGCTGGTGAGAGATTTCAGTAGAAGCTAGTAAGCCTGTTTGATTTGTTTTAGATAGGCAACATGTTTCAGATGCAGACCTTATTTTCCTGTTCCATGTTCAAATAAACCATTTTCAGTGGAACCGCTGAGAAAGAGTCATTTATTTGGTCATGGAAAATGAGGTAACGGTCATGGAAAATGAGGTAAAGGTCATGGAAAATGAGGTAAAGGTCATGGAAAATGAGGTAAAGGTCATGGAAAATGAGGTAAAGGTCATGGAAAATGAGGTAAAGGTCATGGAAAATGAGGTAAAGGTCATGGAAAATGAGGTAAAGGTCATGGAAAATGAGGTAAAGGTCATGGAGAAGTCATTGGTGAAAAAGTGTATGAACCCTGATCTTCAAACTACAAAGAGAGTATTCTGAAATACATCTCCAACACAAAACTCCCAGTTAGGAAGTTATAGGCAGGGTTCGTACGGGTGCTTGAAATCCTTGAAAATGCTTGAAAATTGACGTGGTGTTTTCAAGGTTGGGAAAGTGCTTGAATTTTGGGAATGGTGCTTGAAATTGAGATAAAGTGCTTGAAAATGTAAATGCTTTACTTTTACAATAAATTGCTGTCTGACTGAATAGTTCGCTTTTTAGATTAAAAGAAAATAATTTCTTCGCTTCTACATAAAACAGCTCCGCTGCGGCTTCCCGCGCTATGCCCGCGACCTGCAAATGCACCTTGAAAATGCTTGAAAAGTGCTTGAATTTGACTTTGGAAAAGGTGTAAGAACCCTGTATAGAGCAGGGGTATTCAACTCAAATTCAACGAGGTCCAGTTAGAGAAAATCTCCCCATGCAAAGGTCCGGAACATCAAAATGTTTAACTTGCTTTATGAATGAGTGTGATATTGAAGTAGCCTGTAGCTTTATCAACGTCTGCATTTAGATTACATACGGACTTTCTTTATTCGATTGGCAGTCAGTTGCTGATTACATTATAATCAACAACTGACTCTCACTCCTCTCTTTCGCCCCCTGTCGGCGGCGGTTCAAATAGAATCGCCCCGTCAAAATTGAAATCCCCTATTAATGTATTGATTATAGGTCCGGGTCCGTCTGGGTCCGGACCGCGGGCCGCCTGTTGCCGACCCCTGTTATAGACCAAACTAAAGACAAATGAAGCAGTGAGAAATAATCCTCTGCATTCAGAACTTTTATTTCTCTGAAGTGTGTTGGTAGTTATTCATCGATCAAATGGAGTTTGGGCCACTATTCATATCTGGAGGCTTGACCCTGCGGCTGATGTATGTGAGAAAGCAGAGGGTCTGACTCGAGCTAGCTATCGCTCATTAGGGCTGTGATGATTAATTCTGATAGTGGCTCGCTAATATCGGTAAGACCTAGCAAGTGCACTCTTATTCATCTTGAAGACTGATGAGGACCTGCCGTCTCTATGGAAAGAGCATTAGCCCGGCTAAAGGAGTGGAGTCCCCCCGAGCTAATCACTCAGACAGAGTTCAGTGGATAAAGACATTTTGATCTGGCCCGCTGAAGTGCATTTCATACGAATTAAAAGCCCCGAGGTGGAGCTGTTTATCCTAATGTGTGTGTGTGTGTGTGTGTGTGTGTGTGTGTGTGTGTGTGTGTGTGTGTGTGTGTGTGTGTGTGTGTGTGTGTGTGTGTGTGTGTGTGTGTGTGTGTGTGTGTGTGTGTGTGTGTGTGTGTGTGTGTGTGTGTGTGTGTGTGTGTGTGTGTGTGTGTGTGTGTGTGTGTGTGTGTGTGTGTGTGTGTGTGTGTGTGTGTGTGTGTGTGTCTCAGATGAAACTGCCAAGCTCGGTAGGCCAGAAGAAGATCAAGGCCATTGAGCAGATCCTGCAGGAGCAAGGAGTCGGTGAGTGTAAATAAACATTAATAATCTTTTCAAAGTTTTACAACTGCAACTTAGTTGGTCTCAGTTTTTGTGCAGAAGGGGAACATTTATTTTTATTTTGTGTTAGTCAACTATTGATCAGAGTCAGATCAACCAAAGAATAATGGCCAGCTCATTTGATTATTGAATAATCGTTACATTTAATTCGGTTTTCAGCCCTTTTTAAATACAAAGATGTTTTAGTTTTCATCTGATTGGTATCCTATCTCTAAGTATGTATTTTAATGTGTTGTTGGATTGGCATAACAAGACATTTAAAGACATCACGTGGACTGAAAAAACATGGAGATGGATTTAATTTGTTTCTATAAACTGACCTTTCATAGTTCAATCTATGAATACGGAAAATAACAATTTATTTAAAGAAAGCATTTGTAAAAGGAGAAAGGAGAACAGTATAGTGTTAAAAGCAGTCAGCTTACACTTAATACTATACACTTTTACACCTGGCTACAAACACCATCAGAGCTGCACGCTGTGTCAAGTTTCGTGGTGTTTCTTTGCTTTATTAGTTATTTTCTCACATTCCCCTTTACATCCATTAGTACTCCAATTTAGATGAACAGTTTATTTAACAAGTGGAAAAATGTAATCATAAGAAATGACTCTGGAAAAGCTGCAGATAGAGCCATAAGAAATGAATGCACCTGATTATTTAATGTTTAATGTTGTTTTTATAGGCAATAATGTAAGCTTTGTTAGTTCCAGGTTTAATATGTGCAATCAATTCATTTCAATAAGTTCTGCAATAAACATTGAACCAGTCTGGCCCTCCACTAGTACCCATTTTTTTATTTTGGCCCACTGTGTATTTGAGTTTGAACCCCTTGCTCTAGAGCAGGGGTGGCCAACCCGCGGCTCTTTGCCTAGTTTCATGCGGCTCTTCAGTTCATATCGAATTGTATATGTGTGAGTTTGGGGGAGAGACACTGACTCCGCACGGTGTACCGATACTTGAAAGGTACCGCGATACCCTGCCGTTAAAAACATTACGATTCCTCCGTTTCATTAGTATCGGTACTTTAAGAATGACGGGGGAAAGTACTCCGGTGAGAAAGCGCCGTTTTAATAAGAGCCGTGTTCAGCGCTCTGCTTCCACTCCCTGCCTGCAGTCCCTCCCCTCTCAAGCACGCTCTAAGTGCCTCCCCTCTCAAGCACGCTCTAAGTCCCTCCCCTCTCAAGCACGCTCTAAGTGCCTCCCCTCTCAAGCACGCTCTAAGTCCCTCCCCTCTCAAGCACGCTCTAAGTCCCGCCCCTCTCAAGCACGCTCTAAGTGCCTCCCCTCTCAAGCACGCTCTAAGTCCCTCCCCTCTCAAGCACGCTCTAAGTGCCTCCCCTCTCAAGCACGCTCTAAGTCCCTCCCCTCTCAAGCACGCTCTAAGTCCCGCCCCTCTCAAGCACGCTCTAAGTGCCTCCCCTCTCTCGTGCACGCGCTAGCTGCCAGAGCATGTGAGAAAACGAGAAGCATGGCTGCAAGTGGGAGTGCAACTGCCGCTGCGCCTCGGCTTGTTGACTAAAAAGACGCCAGAAGCGAAATTTGGAAGTATTTGAGCGATATCTCTGACAGTGAGGGCAAGCCTACGGACACCACGAGGCCTGTCTGTAAGAAATGTATTAATTTTATTTAATAGGAATTATTGTCATTTATTTTATATATTGTTTAAAAGTGTGTGTTATGGTTCTGGTTCTGGTGTGAAATAAAGCACAATAATTACATTTAAGACTGTTTCCCTTTTTTTAAGAAAAGTATCGAAAAATAATCGGAATCGCAATTCTTGACTTGGTATCGAAACCAAAATGTTGGTATCGTGACAACACTATAGCTACTCCTGACCAGTGTTGTGCTAGTTACTGAAAACCAGTAACTAGTTACCATTACTAGTTACTTCATTTCAAAACTAACTCAGTTACTTTACTGATTACTTACAAAAAAGTAATGCGTTACTGTGAAAAGTAACGTTTTAGTTACTTACAAAAAGGGCTCCCATTAATGCCCTTATAGCCTTCATTTCAGTACTGTTATTGCATTGGAGAATAATATAATCTGTTGATCAACTTGACATGCATTATATGCAATCTGGATTGCATCGATATTAGCTGGCTTTCCATTTCTGTATATTCTTTCTCCAGGTAGTTGGAAAAAGTTTTCCGTCCCATATGCCGTGTGCCGCCTGGACATGCTATCATGCTAACTAGCTCCCTGAAAGCGGGTGACTCCACTGTAGCAATAGCCTGCATGTGTTCTACAACATACCGTGCAATGGCTTTATCCACTTTTCCCTGGATAGCAGTCCCTTGGTTAAAATCCAGCCGCTGTTGCTTAGGTGGAGGTGGAGTGGCGTCGGCTGAGTCTCTGTGGTCTTAGCTACTAGCTTCGTCCCAGCATGTTGTTTTTGCAGATGTTTTAAGAGATTTGAATGACTGGTTTGGGCAGTAGATAGGATCTTTGACCCGCCAAGACACAACTTACATTTAACTAAAACGTTCTTTTCTTTGTGCTCGACAAAAGTGAAATAGTGAGAATATCTCCAGGTGGAGAAACTAGACTTGAGCTCCGCCGCCGCCATGATAGTCTTGTTAGTAAACAACACAAACACGCCCACAGCGCGTCTCCGCATGTGACACAGGAAGTATCTAAGTACATTTACTCAAGTACTGTACTTAAGTACAGTTCTCATCTCTGTTCGCCTGGCTGTTGACTATATAAAAAAACTAACGGAGTAACGCACCATGTAGTAACGGTAACTGAGTTACTGCATTTAAAAAGTAATGCGTGAGAGTACTAGTTACTGCCAAAAATAAACGGCGTTACAGTAACGCGTTACTTTGTAGCGCGTTAGACCCAACACTGCTCCTGACAGTTAAACCTGATATTTAGTAGGTCTGTTAAGTATTGAATGCTGATAATTCTGACGTAATTTGGCCGGTCAAAGTTGTTTGGGCTCGGATCAAATCGCTCCATTACTTTCGTCCCGGCTCTCCCTACATGTGTATGTGTGGTGTCAGGTGTCAGTAAGAGAGGATGACAGCGCGTCTAAATTTGATGTGGCCCAAGAGCCAATCACAATAATACCTGCGATGCAGTGAACCAATCACCTTTGAGGGGGGGAAACCTGTCGTTGATTAAACACTATCCAGTGTTTCCCCTACCATTGTTTTGGAGGGGCGCTGCGCCCCGCCAACGGAGCCCCGCCCCCCCTGAAATTCAAGGTGTTTAAAAAAAAAAAATCTTTTTTTTAAATATATATATATATAGCACCAAATTGCAAATAATCTATAACTACTGTCACTTTTCACATTGAACATGTGCTCTTTTATTAAATAAACTAAACGCTTTCATTTCAAGTTGTGAGTTTAGTGTTTTTGACCCTAAGAAACACTGATGCATTAATCAATACCAATAATCCACAGCTCCTCTCTCTGCTCCAGAGGATTTAAAAAAAAATATCCCAATGCCACAAAAATGCATCAGTGACGTGGTTGAAATCTTGTCTCCAGAAAACAAAAAACTGAAACAAGAGTTATCAGTTTGATGTGGCTCTTTGCAGTAACATAGAACACATTTGGCTCTTAACCTCTGACTGTACGATGTGAGGGTCTAAGGACAGAGGGTCTAAGGACAGAGGGTGTCGTATTGTCATACTGATATTCTGTACAAACTGTGAAGTCCACTGAGACAAATGTAACATTTGTGATATTGGGCTATAAATAAACATTGATTGATTGATTGACTGGTTGACTGGTTGGCCACCCCTGCTCTAGAAGGTCTCAAATCCAAGAAATTCAACATGAGAATATGAAAAACAAAACTTTGAGAAATCAAATCAATAATAACACTGAGAACGTAAATAACAAGAGTATAGCAAAACATCTAATAAAAGATGATATGGGTTATATATAAGGTCATCCTACATATTGCAATAATACAGTCCAATATAGTTTTGTGGTGTTTTAACTGCTTTCATTTCCTTTTCATTCCTCCTTGCTCTGTCTGTGGATCAGATCTGAACCCCATGCCCACGGAGGAGATGGTCCAGATGTTCAACGAGCTGCGCAGCGACCTGGTTCTGCTGTACGAGCTGAAGCAGGCTCACAGCAACTGTGAGTACGAGCAGCAGATGCTGCGGCACCGCTACGAGGCGCTGCTGAAGGCCGGCGGAGGAGGAGGAGGAGGCTTTGGAGGATCTTTGGGGTCTTTTGGGTCTTTAGGAGCTCTACCAGCCTCCCTAACACAGGGGGGAGAACTCAGCGCCTCCAACAGCACCACAGCATCCACCCCGGGGGGCGAGGCTCCGTCCTGGCCCTGTACCGACGACATCAAGCTGGAGGCCAAGGAGCAGATCATCGATGTTGTCGGAGCACCGCTTACCCCCAACTCAGTAAGTCTGCACTGCACACAGCAAAACTCTGAACCAGCAACAAAACAGGCTGAAGATTTCTGTTTACAAGAGATGTTTGTGTTCATCTGGACCAAGTCGCAATATAATGTCAAGTATTAAGTGTCCAGTTACAAGTAATACATTGTTGACTCAACTTATTGTGTTGTTGTAGCTGGCCAACAATCATTCTGTACGAACTCTCTCCTGGTATTGTAATGCTTTAAGGCAATGGCCACTCATATTTAGATGTTTAAGTGACTTTTCTTACAGTGTGTGGACAGTTTTTCATTGTGAATTATGATTTACAAGAGCTGTTTGTGTTTACCTGGACCATGTCACAGTATGATGTCAAGTCTTAAGCGTCCAGTTACAAGTAATACATTTTGGACTGAACTTAAAGGAGTGTTAATGTAGTTTAGTTGACATCAAAAACTATTCTGTCCTAAAACTTAATATTGTATCGCAGTTCAGGCAATGGGCATTACAGATCTTACAGTGTAGGATTATTTATTTGTGAATTATGATTTAAAAACACTCAAAATAAGTTGATTTTGGTGAGTTTTTATTATTAGCATAAGTGTGAACATCCTCAAATTAGTGACTTAAAAAAGTGGACCAGCTTGCTATCATAGTAGAGAAACAAACAATGTGATACTTATTAAAAACACACAGTTGTGTACAAAAAAAAAGACGGATTTAATGATTTTTGAAGTCCGTATTTAAGAGGTTTGGCCTTTCACAAAAAAGAATGTGTCCTTTCTGTGATGATATGATATGTAAGCCTAAGGGATTCCTGTTTTTTAAGGACCATTTCAACCTTATTTGGTTGATTATCTGGACTTGCAACAGTTTTTACCAGGAATAACGTGAAATGAAATCCTTACCTTTGCCATTTTAAACATGGTGATACTTAGAATTCTTTAAAGCACATGTATTGTTTGATACCCAGCTCGCCCAGCAGTTTAGCAAACACTTTTCTACTAATGGCCATTGATATTAAACTGGTACAATCCTCTCATGAATGTTTAGAAAGCAGAACTAGGAGGAGACCCCCGTCAGACCCTGATGCGATTGTTCTCTCTGTCACCTTGTAGCGCAAACGGAGAGAGTCGGCGTCCAGCTCGTCTTCAGTGAAGAAGGTGAAGAAGCCTTGATGAGCAGCAGCTGGGACAGGGTGCAGGACGTGAGTTACTCTGATCACAGTGGTGACAAGTGTAAAGGTTGGACATCAGGGACACGGGGGAGCTCGCACCACTGACTCTACACACACGACTTTTCACCGACCGGCGATATACTCTCCATCTTTGTGACAAAGACAACAACTGAGTGACATTTCATTCCATTACTGCGCGTCTCCCTGGCTCCGCCGCGGCTCCGCTTCAGACGAGGCAACATCAACTGTAAATTGCCAGGCCGAGCTAATCGGGACGCGGGGAAGAAGCTGGGAATGACGGGGTAATTGGAATGAATTGGAATGAAAGAAGAGACTCTGGGAGTGGGAGGACCTCGAGCCGCATCGGACCCATCTGAGGGTTTTTTTTGGAGCCTAATCATGTCGTAGTGTTTACTGGAAATGTGTTTTTGTGTTAGCCTTTAGTACCTTCCCAGAGTGCACCTCTCTCTCTCTGGAGGGCTCCATATGCAGCCTGTGGAGCGAGTGTGTTTGTCCTCAGGTGACCTTGAAGATGCTTCAGTCAATGATTCAATAAACCTCATTGTTTTTTTTCCTCCCTGCGTGTTATGCATGTTTATGATCTCTTCACAGTGTCCGTCGCTCTCAGAAGAGATTCTAACTCGGAGGTAATTAGTGTTGAATACACATGTGCCGGGGAAATTGTAGGATCACGACATTCTTACCTTACCTGTCATCTAAGTTAAGTGACAACTAATGACTTCATTAATATGATAATTAAGCAGTGATCATTCTCAGGCCCGCACAGCCTCTGAAACTTCATTAGGTTCCCTCCTCATAATATTGCTAATTGCATGTCAATTATGTCGTTTAGCCTACTTAGACATTAATTTCTATGCAAATGTAGAATACGCTTGCCCAGAAGAGAGGGGACTGTGGTCTAGGCATATAGTGTGTGTATTAAAGGGGCCCTATCATGCTCATTATCAGGTTCATTTATGTATTAAGTGTCTCTTACTGGGACATTCTCCATGCTTTAAAGTGGACCTATCATGCTATTATTGGAAACATATATTGTAGGGCCATACCTATACAAAACATGTCTGTGAAGTTTTTTGCTTCAAATACCAAACAGATCCCCCATTGTAGCCATGCCTCATACTGCTCAAACCCCTCTGTAGCAGCCCTGTTAGAGAAACGCGGATGTTGGGTCCTTAGCTTGAAAAAGAAAAAAAGAGGAGGCGGAGCTAATGCCTGATCAGAATTCTACCGGAGAAAAAGTTAAATTCTGCTGTGATAAAACGCCATCCTGTTCTAAACCACATCAAGGATTATCTCTGAAACAGTATGGAGCTCAAATGCTTTTTCTCTTGCAGGTTTATCACAAGGTGAGTTCCTTTTTTTATTTCCTGCTTTTTAAACACGTGCTCTCCAGTACAGGTTAGCTCTGAGTGTTAGCGATGCTAATGTAAACAAAGACCAGATTACGTCCAAAACACGTCAGGCATTGTTTCTGATAGCAACTTTCTGTGGGTCCGCTGCCGATTTGACGTCATATCGGCAGCAAATCTGAATCCGCTTGTTGTAGCCCCGTTTTTAAAAGATTTGGGTACGAAGGATAAAAGAGAGGGTTTTATTTTCTGACGCTGTGTGAGTTCCCCGACACACCAGGACTGAAAAGACATCAAAAAGTGCATTTTGCATGATAGGTCCCCTTTAATGTTCAAAAAGCTCTTTATTGTTCTCATTCTGCCTGTGCTGCAGCACCTCTTTTCGCCCTCTGTCTGAAACCAGAGCCCAGTCTGCTCTGATTGGTTAGCTGGCCGGCTCTGTTGAGATTGGTCAACCGCATAGAGATGTCCCGCTCCTTAGCCTGTCATGTACCATGTGTTGGAGCGCTATCGTAAATCTAATGGATAGATTTACGATTCAAACATTATAAAAGTAGGGTAGACATGTGGAGATTATCCGGCTGACACAACGTGATCCGTCTCTTCAATGTGTTTCAACCACAGACCTTATTTCCAGCTATTTTCAAAATCCTATGGAGAAATCCCATTGCTTTTTTTGTCTAAGAAACCAGGAGTTTACTTCGGGGTTTTAGGACGCGTCACTGTGTCTGCATCTTTCCGTCATGACAATAGCTCAACAGCCAGATTTACACCACTCCATTATTTAGCTGGAAACGAGACTATAAATGTCCAGTTGCAAGTAATAAATCATCACCTTTATTAACGTCTTTATTTTATTCTTTCCAACGTTAGATGCCTTTCCTTTTTAAAGACTCTTTATTGAACACCAGAATCAAAACAAGGTCTCTAAAAGCTCTTTTTAAGGTTGCAGGAGTAAAGCCATCCGCACACTGTGAGCCGTTTGATTGAGAGCGAGCAGAGAGGGAACGAGTGAGAGGAGGCAAGTACACATGGGTAAAATGGATTCTCTGTGTCTATATTTCATGTTGAAAATTGGCTCATAAATCCAGTGGTTTGATCTATGGAACCCGTCGTTGCTTGAAAAAACCTCCGTAAATGTGTAATTTCTCCCTTGACAGAACACAGGCGAAAGGCTATCTTTCTTTTGCTTCCTCCTCCCCCTTTCTCTCTCTCTCATTCACACTCTCCACTGTTGGATTAATGCTCTCCTCTCTTCTCCCCTTTCATGCTCCTCTGATATCTTCTTTTCATCACTGCTCATCCATTTATCAACACCGTGCGCTTCCTCTACCGCTCTGTCTCTCATAACGGCAACCCGTCTTCAAGTCATACGGCAGGTATCCTGTAGGATGGGCTTCAAGAAAGTGGAGGTTATTAATAAATACTAGTCTAAATTGAAAGTAGATGCATCAGCAGCCATGTGTGGATGATGCAGCTCCATCCAGTGTACGTTCTGCAACACTGATGTGAAAAGCATGAGGCAGAGTGTCTTATAATGTGCTTGTGATGGCATTGAGATGGGATCTCTTTATCAAGGCCGGGCCGAGGCTTTAATCACGGCCTAAGAGGTGCGCTGGCTGTTTATCATAATTGAACTGTATCCGGGCTAATCGCTGGCATACGTCACTGTCGAGCGGTCGCTGGCGGAGGTGATTGAACACACAGTTAAGAGAAAAGATGTGTACCGAGGGACATAAGGCAGGAAGAGGCAGGTAATAGCAGATGTGATAGAAGCCTGTTCAAATACATCACGGCCCGGAGGTAATCGCTGATGTGACAATGATTAGATTGTCGATGCCTCCTTGCTGTGGCACACTGCTTTATGCCCATCATGTCACATACAATCACTGATAACTACAAGGGGAAGAGGCAGGAATGGAGCAATAGGAGAGTGAAGACGGGGTAATCTCCCTCCTAAACTCAGGACTGGGCTCTTACAATATGTCCAACACAGACCTTCACCTCCGTGCCCCTCTCTCATCTCCATGTTCCTCACTTTGACTTTCACCTCCTCCTGTTGAGGTCACCTTGAGGGAGAACACTTTTAATCATTGCTGCACATCACATTCACCTCTGGGAGCCCCGACAAAGGGGGACGGAGTTGGGAAATGATGGTGGCCCACAGGGCTGGACAGTTGAAGTCATTTCCTACTGGATCTTTTTTTTTTTTTTCTGCAGACGGTGGAAGGCCTGCTGCAACACAAACCCAATCTCTGGCGCTAAGCAGTGCTTACAGCTAGGCATTAACCCCACTGTCCACTCTCTGCATTAAACCCCGGGAGGCAGGAGGGGAGAGTGGAGTGGAGCGGACTACATCTAGACTTCATGTTCCCTGGAACTCAGGAACATCGCCGGTCACGTCTTTCAAGGTGTCCTACCTCGAAATGATGCCTTATTTCAACATAAAATATCATGCTTTTTTGTAGCATTTTTTTCGACTATGACTTTTCTGTCATTTTTAACGACATACTGGTTTTCATACTGGTGCCTTATTTCGACATAAAATACCATGTTTTATTTTAATTGTTTCAACATGCTATATAATGACTTTTTTGTCCTTTTTAGCGACATACTACGCCTGGTTTCTACACACCATACTACGCCTTATTTTGACATAAAATACCATGTTTTTTTGTGCAGTTTTTGCATTTCTTCGACATGCTATACCATGACTTTTTGTCCTTTTTTTCAACGTGCTATATTATGACTTTTCTGTCATTTTGAACGACATATGGTGATGAAAAATGGATAATGACTAATGACAAAACCAGGTGGATGAAAGGTTTCTTGTTTCCACATCCTGCAGATACGGAGCAACATTAGCAATCATTTGGGATTGTGTGTGTTTTGGTCTTCACCAACACTTTTCAAAACCAATATTTGTATGTCTCTTTAGCTGCTAAATGCTGCATTATGTTGACCAGCTAGTCGCTCTCTGCTGTTAGTACACAGCGGCTCTTATCCAATGGGTTATCACAGTTTTTACACCAATGGCTGCCTGCTTTGGATGCAACGAGGTTGATGAAAGGTGATGATTCTCTAGGTGATATCTAGTCACACTAACTTCACCCTTTGCTTTGTTGACTGCAGTTTTGTAACCTTGAGTTGGACTTTTTTACTTTTCCATATCGTTTTTTTTGTTCTTTGCAATCTTAGTTTTTGTCCGTCCCCTACCAGTTTTTGTTGTTGTTGTTGTTGTTGTAACCACATATGACTCAAGAAGGGCGAGCATAATTACAACCGATTACTGACATTTTTACGTTCCAATTAACTTCATGAAGCATCAAATAAGAAGAGTAATTTTCTCATAGACTTATATACAATCAGATTTTTGCAACCAATGGAATTGGAGTCCTGATAGAAATTAGGAAACGTTCAAATGTAAGGCACTTCTGAATTGAATTGATTTATGGGACCCAGAGGTTGTTAGTCTTGCGTTAACATTACACACTGTGAAGTAAACATGAATACATGGATGTGTAGTGCAGCTTTAACAAAATCATAGTCAGTCAACTTTATTGTCAATCTTTCAGTTTGTGTGTGTACAGACAGCGAGATCGAAATACCGTTTCCCACAATCCTGAATACAAAAATATATAACAATATGTATATCCTATATATACACAATCAACAGACACATTTATACATATGCACACATTAAGACATGAGTAAAAGAACAACAATCAATACATACAAAATAACAGTCACTTCAATATCTTTGGGATATTTGATGTAAAGTGAAACATGTCCTTATTAAGTTGTGGACAAAACACGATTGTGAACCTAAAACGATGTCTCTGTTTGGTCCTCAGCGTGTTTGTGTATCCATGCATTTGGACTTTTATGTTATTGTCTATCGAGGGCACGGAGAGCGGTGTGTTCAGGTCAGAGCTGTGATTGCATGCTGACTATAAAGGAGACAGGTTGGACAGCTCCTCTCTGTCCCCCCGTCAGAAACAACCCGCTCTGATTCGATTGGTCGCTGAGAGACAGAGCGGCCTGTGAACAACATGTGACACCAGAGTTACCTCGGCTCACTGTCCCTCTCCTCACCTGCAGCAGCACAATCCTAACAAAGAACGGAAAAAAAATCCAATTTGCCATGCGGATCCGCAGCTGTCACGGCGGGGGGAATTAAACATTACCCATAACTCACTGGGGGTGT